ATAACACACTACTAAACAATGAATGGGTCAACTAGGAAATTAAAAGATGTAAAAAAAAAATACATAGAAACAAATGAAAATGAGAACACAATGGTCCACAACCTTAGGGATACAGCAAAAGTGGTCCTAAGAGGGAAGTATATAGTAATACAGGCCTATCTCAAGAAGCAAGAGAAGTCTCATATAAACAACCTAACCTCATATTTAAAGGGGCTAGAAAAAAAAAACAACAACCTAAAACCAGCAGAAAGAAGGGAATAATAAATAGAGCAGAAACAAATGACATAGAAACCAAAACAACAATAGAACATATCAATGAAACTAGGAGCTAGTTCTTTGAAAAAATCAGTAAAACTGATAAGCCTCCAGCCAGACTTAGCAAAAAGAAAAGTGAAAGGACTCAAATAAATAAAATCACAAATGAGAGAGGAGAAATAACACCACCACAGACATATAAACAATTATTAAGAGAATATTATGAAAAATTATATGCCAACAAATTGGACAACCTACAAGAAATGAAAAAATTCCTAGAAACAAATAAATTACCAAAACTGAAACAAGAATAGAAAATTTGAACAGAATGATAACCAGCAAAGAAATTGAATCAGTAATCAAAAAACTTCCAACAAAAAAAAAACCCAGGACCAGATGGCTTCACAGGCGAATTTTACCGAACATTTAAAGAAGAGTGAATACCTATTCTTCTCAAACTATTACAAAAAATAGCAAAGGAAAGAAAACTTTCAAATTCATCCTATGAGGCCAGCATTAACCTGAAACTAAAACCAGATAAAGACACCACCAAAAAAGAGACCTACAGGCTAGTATCTCTGATGAACATAAATACAAAATCCTCAGCAAAATACTAACAAACCAAATCCAACAATACATTTAAAAAATCATTCACCATGATCAAGTGGGACTTATTCCTGGGTTACAAGGGTGGTTCAATACTTGCAAATCAGTCGATGTGATACATCCCCATCAATAAAAGAAAGGATAAGAATCATGTGATCATTTTAATAGATGAAAAAGAAGCATTTGACATAGTACAACATAAATTCATGATAAAAACTCTCAACAAAGTACGTTTAGAAGGAATATACCTCGACATAGCAAAGACCATATATGAAAAACTCACAGCTAACATCAATCTCAAATGGGGGGAAACTGACAGCTCTTCCTCTACAGTCAGGAAAAAGACAGAGATGTCCAATCTCACCACTTTTATTCAACATAGGACTGGAAGTTCTAGCTACAGCAATCAGACAACAACAACAACATAAATAATAAATAAATAATAAATGGCATCCAAATTGCCAAAAAAAAGTAAAAATTTCACTATTTGCAGATGACGTGATATAATATATAGAAAACCCAAAAGATTCCATCAAAAAACTGCTAGTACTGATAAATGAATTCAGTAAAATGACAGAATACAAAATCAATATACAGATATCTGTTGCATTTCTATACACCAGTAATGAAGCAGCAGAAAGAGAGATTAAGAAAACAATCCCATTTACAACTGCACCAAAAAACAATAAGAAACCTAGGAATAAACCTAACCAAAGAGGTGAAAAACCTGTACTCTGAAAACTATAGAACACTGATGAAAGAAATTGAAGATGACACAAAGAAATGGAAAGATATTCCATGCTCATGGATTAGAAGAACACATATTATTAAAATGTCTATACTACCAAAAGCAATCTACACATTTAATGCAATATCTATCAAAATACCAACAGCATTTTTCACAGAGCTAGAATGATCCTAAATTTTGTATGGAACCACAAAAACCCCAAATAGCCAAAGTAATCTTGAAAAAGAAAAGCAAAGCTGGTGGCATCACAATTCCAGACTTCAATTTATATTACAAAGCAGTAGTAATCAAAACAGTATGATACTTGGCATAAAAATGGATACAGATCAATAGAACAGAATAGAAAACCCAGAAATGAGCTCACAATTATGTGGTCAATTAATCTTTGACAAAGCAGGAAAAAATATCCAATGGGAAAAAACTGTCTCTTCAAAAAATGATGTCAAGAAATTGGACAGCAACAGGCAAAAGAATAAAACTGGACCACTTTCTTTCACCATACACAAAAATAAATTCAAATGGATTAAAAACCTAAATGTGAGACAGGAAACCACAAGAGTCCTTGAAGAAAGTACAGTCAGTAATTTTTCTGACATCAGCCATAGCTACATTTTTCTAGATAGGTGTCCCAAGGCAAGGGAAGCAAAAGCAAAACTAAGCTATTGGAACAACATCAAAATAAATAACTTCTGCACAGCAAAGGAAACAAGCAACAAAACTAAAAGGCAACCTAGGGAATGTGAGAAGATATTTGCAAATGACATATTCAAAGAGGATTAGTATCCAAAAAATATGTAAAGAACATAAAACTCAACACCCAAAAAATGAATAATCCAATTAAAAATGGGCAGAACACATGAACAGACATTTCCCCAAAGAAGACATACAGATGGCCAACAGACACATGAAAAGATGCTCAACATCACTTATCAGGGAATTGCAAATCAAAACTACAAGATATCACCTCACACCTGTCAGAATGGCTAAAATCAACAAGAAACAACAGGTCTTGTGAAGATGTAAAGAAAGGGGAACTCTCATGCACTGTTGGTGGGAATGCAAACTGGTGCAGCCACTCTGGAAAACAGTATGGAGGTTCCTCAAAAAGTTAAAAATAGAACTATCCTATGATCCAGCAATCACATTACCAGGTATTTACCCAAAGAATATAAAAATACTAATTCAAAAGGATACACGCACCCCGATTGTTATAGCAGCCTTCTTTACAATAGCCAAATTATGGAAACAGCCCAAGTGTCCATGAACTGATAAATGGATAAAGAAGCTGGTGTGTGTGTGTGTGTGTGTGTGTGTAATGTAATATTAGCCAGAAAAAAGAATGAAACTTGCCATTTGCAATGACATAGATGGAGCTAGAGAGTATTATGCTAAATGAGGTAAGTCAGTAAGAAAAAGACAAATACCACATGATTTCATTCATATCTGCAATTTAAGGAACAAAACAATCAAACAAAGGGGAGAGAAAAGAGAGAGAGAAACCAAGAAACAGACTCTTAACTATAGAAAACAAACTGATGGTTACTAGAGGGAAGGGGAGAGAGGTGATGGGGATCAAGGAGGGCACTTGTCGTGGTGAGCACCAGGTGTTGTATGGAAGTGTTAAATTATATTATATACCTGAAACTAACATTACACTCTATGTTAACTAACTGGAATTTAAATAAAAACCTTAAAAAATCTAAAATAGAAAAAGAAAACTTCATATTTAGAAAAAGGCATTTAACTGGATTTTAAGTATCCCAGAAAACAAAATAATTTAAAGGATTTGGAAATATCAAAAAAGCAATCCTCATTTAAGAAGTCTAGGATAATGTTTCCCAACCTCAAATCTGGTGTATATTAAAAAAATATTGTACTCACAAAAAGTTTTATAAAGTTCCAGAAGAAATGTCACTTAAAAATGTCACATGCTTTTATTGTACACTGTACAGAGGTAATGAAGAATGTGAGAAACATCTAACAATTACAAGGCATCAAAGTTTAACAAGGTCTGGAATCATCAATCTAGAGTTTTTACTAAACAGGGAAATACACTAATGAAATTAAATTTTTAAGAGAATAATCTCATTATTTCAGCATATAGTAACTAAACTGTAGCTAAAGAAAATATTTTCCCAAAAGTGGCCATAACCATAGAAACCAAGATGTCATTTATTTACAGACATCTTATATTAATCCATAATTACTCTTTAAAAATGTCAATAGCTTATCCAGTAGTCCCCCATTATCCACAAAGGATATCTTAGGAGATCCCCAGTGAATGCCTGAAATTGTGGATAGTACCAAGTCCTATGTATACTGTTTTTTCCTATTCATACATACCTAAGATAAAGTTTAATTTATAAATTAGGCACAGTAAGTGATTAACAACAATAACTAATAATACAATAGAACAATAACAATATCCTGTAATAAAAGTTCTATGAATGTAATCTCTATTTCAAATATCTTATTGTACTGTACTCACCTTTCTCCTTGTGATGATGTGAGAGGATAAAATGCCTACATAATGAGATGAAGTGAGGTGAATGGTGTAGGCATTGTGACGTAGCATTAGGCTACTACTGACCTTCAAGGAAAGGTACATCAGAAGGAAAATATGCTTCTGGACCACAGCTGATCGCAGGAAACTATGGAAAGCAAAACTGCAGGTAAGGGGAGACTACTGTACTACAACTAGCCATTCAACTTTATGCAAGTTTCTCTTCATCACAAGTTCAGAGACAAAAAAATGAGCCAAGCTTCCAAAGGATTCATCACATTCTAAGTTGAAACGAAATTAAAACTAAGTAGAAACATGCCCTCAAGGCCATCTAAGTGTACTTTTCTTTATGTTCACACACCTTTTAAAATACTTTATCCAGGCTATCTTCATTAAAAAGGTTTTTACAAAGGAATTAAGTTTCCCTATCCAGATATGGAAATGTAAAACATGCAAGAAGATAGGGATGAAAACAGGAAAGAAATGCTGGCCTCAGAAGGAATCAAATATAAAGAGAATTAGAGATATTATGTATTATAATAAGGAGAAAAAAAACACATACCTTTAGCTATGTGACTAGAACTCAAGGAATTTAGATGAGAGAACTGCAGCAAAGAAACTGCCTTTTCCACTACAAGCTACATGTAGTGAAAAGAAAATATAGCTATAGAGCATATTTTACCCTTTTCAACAGGGTTTATTATAGAAAGGATATATTAAGTAATTATTTCAATCAACAACTTACTTTGTTTCCAAATGGGTATTTCAATATATGCTAGATTTGAATGAAAATAACACAGTAATTTTAAACCACTAGTTTTTATTGTTCATTTTCCAACCAGTGGTCCATGTCTTGGGGTTTCCTTTTATCTCCCTGTTCACAAAGCTACTTCCAAATGCCTACACTTTTCTAAAGTGTTTATGTCCCCTAGCTTCTGATTGCTAACTTAGTTAAGACCTGATTACAGCTGAGAAAGAGGCCTCTATTTTATTTCTATATGAAAGACACCCTCCACTTTGAAGGCAGGGACCCGTTCTTTCTTGATATTAGACAAATCTTCAGGGGCAGGATCCAGTTCTAAAGGCTCTTCAAGTTTTTGCTGATCTTCCAAAACCAGTGATTCTAATTTTACCACTGGGACATCTGTTGTCTGGAGATATTGATATTCAGTAGACATATGGTCTACCAAAGCCTCATTTATAGCAATGTGTTCAGATGGTGGAGGCTGAACTTTAGCAAGGACATCTTCTATAGAGATTTGTGTAATAAAGTCCTCTTCAGCTGCTGGAAACTATTTGTCAACAGGGACCATTTCTAAAGTAGTTTCTTCATCTGATGGATGAAGTTCAACGAGGACTCCTCCAGCTGGTGCAGACCAAACTTCAGCTGGGGTATCTTCTTTAGGGACCTCCTCCGCTGGTGGAGACCAAATTTCAGCTGAGTCCTCCTCAGCTGGTGTGGACCAAATTTCAGCTGAGGCCTCTTCTGCAGGGCCTGCCTCAGCTGGTAGATACCAAACTTCATCTGGGGCCTCTTCTGCAGGAGACTTCTCAGCTGGTGGAAACTGTACTTCATCTGGAGCCTCTTCTGTAAGAGCCTCCTCAACTGGAGGAGACCAAATTTCAGCTGGGGCCTCTTCTGCAGGGCCTGCCTCAGCTGATAGATACCAAACTTCATCTGGGGTCTCTTCTGCAGGAGGTTCCTCAGCTAGTGGAAACTGTACTTCATCTGGAACCTCTTCTGCAGGGCCTGCCTCAGCTGATAGATACCAAACTTCATCTGGGGTCTCTTCTGCAGGAGGTTCCTCAGCTAGTGGAAACTGTACTTCATCTGGAACCTCTTCTGCAGGAGGCTCCTCAGCTGGTGGAAACTGTACTTCATCTGGAGCCTTTTCTGCAGGAGCCTCCTCAGCTGGTAAAGACCAAATATCATCTGGAGCTTCTTCTTCAGGGCCCTCATCAGCTGGTGGAGCCCAAACTGCACCTTGGGCATCTTCTGCAGGGGCGTCCTCAGCTGGTAAAGACTGAATGTCAGGAGATGTCTCAGCTGGTGGAGGTTGAACTTCAATTGGGGCCTCTTCTGCAGGGGCCTCCTCAGCTGGTGGAGACTGAACTTCAGGAGATGTCTCAGCTGGTGGAGGCTGAACTTCAGCTGGGGCCTGTTCTGCAGGGGTCTCTTCAGCTAGTGGAGGCTGAACTTCAGCTGGGGCCTCTTCAGAGAAGGCCTCCTCAGCTAGTGAAGACTGAACTTCAGCTGGGGCCTCTTCTGCAGGGGCCTCCACAGCTGGTGGAAGCTGAAGTTCTGGGGCCTCTTGTGTAGGAGGCTCTTCAGCTGATAGAGGCTGAACTTCAGCATAAGCCTCTTCTGAAAAAGTCTTTTCAGCAGGGATAGACTCTACTTTAGCAGGGGCCTCTTCTGCAGGAGTCTCCTCAGTTGGGGAAAGCTGTACTTCAATAGAAGCTTCAACTTTTGGAGACTGAACTTCATCAGGGGGCCCTTCTGAAAGAGCCTCTTCACCCAGGGTGGGCTCTACTTTAGCAGGGCCCTTTTCTGCAGGATCCTCTTCAATTGGTGGAGGCTGAAGTTCAGTTGGGGAGTTTTCTGTAGTAGCCTCCTCAGTTGGCAGAGGTTGCATTTCAGCAGAGATCTCTTCTGCAGTGGGAGGCTGTACTTCACCTAGAACATACTGCTCATCTTCTGAAAGTTCCAAAGAACCCTTTTTGCTTTGTTGACCAAATAGAAATCTGCTGGTATATATCTGCCCAATTGCTTCATCTTTACTTGTTGAAGGTTGCAATTCAGGATGTTCACTAATGAAAAATTTCCCTGAGGATTTACATTTCTGCACAACTTCATTTGACTTTGAAAAAGAGCTATCTGGCCTGCCAATAACCATTATTTCTGTTTCACTAAAGTATGTCTGCTGTTCCTTGCTCACTTTTTCTTTTTGAGGAATGTTCGTCATTGTCCAGTCTCCAGTACAACTGGTCTGCTGAGATCTGTCTATCTTGAATTGAACTGAATGTCTGCTTGGTGGAATTTCTACTTCCTGAACACTCTCTGGACATTCAGGGACTGCTTCTCCAACAGCAGCTGGTTTTTCTTCAGGTATCACTGTTTCACTAACTGACATGATTTCTTCTTTTTTCTCTTCTACAGTAGCGTCTGTTTGCAGAGATTTATCTGTCATATCCTGTACACGCTTTCTCTTTGTCCAAGTTTGCTGAAGTTGAGAAGATACTCTGAGAGACTCATAGTTGACTTTGCTTCCAGGAATATTACCAATACTAAGGGTAGCTTTAGGGCCAGATGATTGTGATATAGGCAAGTGTTTCTTTTTCTCTGTCACTTCAGTCTGCTGGGATTTGTCTACCGTTGGTTGGCTGGGTCGTCTTCTCTTTCGAATTTCTTGTCTCCCTGCTGAGATAGGCTGATCAGGTTCATCACCTTCTTCCATTTCTAAAACTGGTGAATTTCAAACATATTACTCTTCAAGTAATTAATCATCAAGAATCACGAATGTACCAGACAGGTAAGGCTTTGTCTTTCTTCATTAAGTGTTGTTCTGTTGAGATACCTTAGAAAAAAGTAATTAATAAATTACTGCATTCTGTACTACACTCTTGTTGGATCCCACCTTACTAAGTAAGCATCTCTCTTGTTTAGTCTCTCATATGACTAATCTCACTTCTAGAAGTTTCCCTTAAAGGTCTATGACATCACAGTCAATTCTCCCTACAAGGTTCCATTCGTGGTGTTCCAAGCACATTTTAACTTTGTATAAACACATATAGACAATGGCTACAAGTGAGAGAGCTACTATTTGAAATATCAAGTTGAAAAAAGCATTTGTCTATCAGAGGAACATCAAGTAAACTCCAGTAATGTTGCTTCCTAATAGTTGAAAGTGATGTTTTTGAAATTTCAATTCTGTTATTTTTGTCCTACGATCAAAGACAGTTATATTGCAGAACTCAGAATGCTGCAGCCTATTTTGAATTGTTGGAGAAAACAAACGATACATGTATGTGGCAATGTTCTATCAAAATGTATACTTACTTGATTTGGAAGAAAGTGAATATTGTTTTAAAAATTTGAGTTCTGAGGTCCATTCCATGTAAACTCCATTCCTCTGTTCTCAGCACTCAGGAACTACAAGAGCCTACTATCTATATTGATAGTAGGCTCATATATGTATATATAGATAGATATATAGATATATCCTATATATTATATATGCAAATATGCCACCTATATATATAGCATATTTGCATTCTCAAACAACTTGAGATATTTTTATTTTCAACTATTTCAGAAAATAGTTCCACCCAAAGTTTGCTAAATAAAAGAATGTTAAGTCTAAAGATCTGTCACATGAAATAAAATGCCTTTTTAAATATACAAGCTACTGAATAACCACATAGGAATAAATTCCCCAATGAAGATAAAACTGTAAATTGAAGCCTTGAAATAGAGGAAACCCAGTTAAGCAAATTATAAATGATATTATAATAGATTAGGAATGTAAATAAAACTTTAACTTACACATCACACAAAAATTTTACTAGCAAGATGAAAATTTATCAAAAGATGTGCAAAAAACACATCACTTTGGTCTCTAGAAAGTTAAAGGGAAGAAAACAGACTTCAAAAATGTAGTCACAGAGACAAACATATCTAAACAATCATTATGACTTGATTAACCTAGAAATATTTTTAAATTTCTTTATGCCTCAGGAAATATAAAAATGTCATTGAATAATTACACTTGTTTGACATGCATTAGTCTTAATTGTAGTTAGGTCATCTTAGGCAAATAAATTAACACTTTTCACATTCTTTGACCCAGTCCCTAAAACAACCTCAGTCTCTTGGTAGGGATCAGTGAATATTTGTTCAGTATAATTGGACGAATGTGTTAAAAACCATGTTGCTTGTCTTACAGCTCAACTTGCTCTGCTTTAATTTTTGTACATTCTGCTCCACTATGTTCTATCTCTCTAAGAATTAATAAAGTGAAGTATAACAATAGTCATTTTACAAGAGAACTGATACAGGTTTTCATCAGACTGGCTATAGTTTGAAAATTGGTTGTTTATCAACCTCTTTGTGGTCTGGTGTTCTCAATTGCATCTGTCACACATTGCATGTGTCTTTTGTAATCAAGTTTCTGAGATTTTATAGAATATCTTCAAAGTCCATTTTGGGTTGATTTATAACAAGAAATAAATTTCAAAACTAACATTTTATTCATTGGATTATGCAACTGCATGTACTGGATTAATTTTGCTGCCTCAACTTAAATAAGATTTTACCAAATCTTCCATAGATATAACTTGAATTTTCAGTATCACTTAAAATTTCAATTTCTAATTATTTGATATTTACTTTCCCCTCCAAGAAATAATAAAGAATTTGATCAATCTTAATTATACACCAACCTATTGCACTAAACTGCATTTGTCATTAGCTTATTTATAGAAACAAATTAGCATGCCTAAATAATCAATTAAAAATTCACTTGAGATTCCAAATGGAATTACAAGGGATTTCATAGAGCAGTTTCTCATTACATTTCTTAAATCCACAAATGCTCCTTTTCCCCTGCTGATCTACCTACCCAACTAATCATTATTCAACCTATCTTGTCAATTTAGGATTTGGTATTTTACCCTTTGTTCTAGAAATCTACATGATTCCATTTTCTCCCATTTACTTGGTTCACATCTGTTACGGATTGAATTGTGTATCCCAAAAAGATGTGTTGGGTACTGTGAATGTGACATTATTTGGCAAAAGGATTTTTGCAAATGTAATCAGGTCAAGTGGTTCTTATAAAAAGAGGGGGAAAAGACACAGAGGGAAGATGTTCATGAGTAGATGGAGGCAGAGATTTGTGTTATGCTGCCATAAGGCAAGGAATACCTAGGGCTACCAGAAGCTAAAAGAAGCAGGCTTCAGAGGGAGCATGGCTCTGCCAATGATTTGGGACTTCAAGCCTCTAGAACTGTGAGAGAACAACGTTCTGTTGTTTTAACCCAGTATGTGGTACTTTATCATAGCAGCTCTAGGAAACTAATACAACATTCTTTCAGAACCCCATATTTCTGATTTCTGGTTGGAATGCTGTACTCCAACTCTTTTTCAATCTCTAGAGTTAGTTTCTTTATTTCTAATTCAGGTCTGGCATTTGGTTTCACACAATATTTGACTCATTTCCATGATCATAAAACCAGAGGGATTTGCTGAAAGGCTTCTATGTGATGATTTGCATTTAATGTTAGCACAAACAAATTTGCCAAGTAGCACTTAATTTCATTTTTTATTATAATAACTTGGAAAGCTATCATTTAAAGTGGCAAAGATATTTCAAATCAATATAAACCAAATATCTAAACTGTGACCTATATTGCTTTGTTCTCAGTATATCAAATAAGGTGAAGTCTGAAAAATGCCCACTGGATATAATAACTATAAGATTATTGGTAATTTTAGTAAGAGCAGTTTCAGTGAAAGGGTGGGGATAGATGCCATATAATTCTAAAATCTCTGTGAATTAAAAATAAAATTAAAGTGCAATGAAAATCTAGGAAAAATAAGTGCAAACTATCACATAGACAAAGAGCTGTATTTAATATACTAAAAGATTTTAGAAATCAATATAAAGGTAACAATAGAAAAATTAACAAAGGACATGAATAAAAAATTTATGGATGAAAAATAGGTAAACAATAAATATATAAAAGAGATCAAGTTCACTTCTACAATAAAAATTAAAATACCAATGTAACATTAGCAAATATTTATTTTAAAGTTAATACCCCCCCAAAGTGAGAGTATTATTAAATGGATAGCTTCATACATTACTGGCAGAAGTTTGAATTGATACAAACTTTATTCTGGATAATCTGAAAGTAAATATCAAATATTTCTAAAATGTGCATACTATTTGCCCACAATTTTACTTCCAATTCTACTTAATTTTTGGAAATAATTATTACCTCAAAAAATATTTATTGAGTATCTATGTATTCTAGGGACAGTTGCCAGGCGTTGAGGAAACAAGAACACAAAAAGACATTGTTCCCTATCCTTGTGAATCTCACAGTCCATTGGGAGAAACTGAATAAATAAATATAAAAATTGTAGAAAATATTGTTAAGTAGTAAAGAGAAAATATATTTTACCTGGAGTAATAGGACCAAAAGGGTTTTATAGGAGAGAACATCTAATTGAGAAAGCATCCAAGGGAGTAACAATAGAAAGAAAATTCTAAAAACTCTAAGAAAAATCTGCTGTGGCAAGAGAAAAGGCTAAGTGAGCAAAGGAAATCATTCGTTAGAATGTGCTAGAAGAAGTAGATAGGGGACTGATGATGCATTGACTTGCAAACTCTAAGAAGTATTGTTATTTTGGATCTAACAATTATAAATATTTATGCACCCAATATCAGAATACCTAAATATACAAAACAAATATTAAGATATCTGAAGGGATAAGTAGACAACAATACAATAAAAGTAAATGAGTTGATTACTCCACTGTCATTAATGAATAGATAATCCAGATAGAAAATTAATAAGAAAACTTGGCCTTGAACTACACTTTAGATCAGATGGACCTCACAGACACATATAGAACATTCTTTCCAACAGCAAGAAAATAAACATACTTCTCTAACACAGACAAAGCATTCTTTAGGATAGATCATATGTTATCTGACAAAACAAGTTTTTTAAACATTTGAGAAAACTGAAATCATATCAAGCATCTTTGCTAATCACAATGGTATGAAATTAGAAATCAATTACAAGAAGATAACAGGAAAATTCACAAGTATATGGATGTTAAGCAACATATTGCTGAACAACCAACCCCCGGCATAAACACATGGCTACCTGAGAGAACCACCTCCACAACAACATTCACTATCTAACATGTTTACACCAAGCCCTGCCTCCCCACCCCAGGCTTTGGCAGATCTGCCTTTTCTAGTCACACTTGCCTCAGTCCCAAAACTGCAGGTCTTCTACCAAGAAGATTAAAACAAACCTTGCCAACAAAGCATCTACTGGCCCACACACTGTGCAGGGCCTTGGTCCCCATTGGGTGGCAGCAGCAGTGGTGGAGACTGCAAGTCTCATTTCACAAGCAGATTGGTGTACACCTTGTTAAAACTGTGTGCCCCATCCCAGCTGGGTATATAGATATATGGGTATTTAGACTGTGGGGGGTAGAGAGCCTCCGTCAGCCAGCTACCAGCAAGTGATAGAGTGGCAGAGCACTAAATTGGAAATTTTTAGAATTCTGCTCCAGTGAGGGACATCACTTAGGAGGCTAAGCAGGGGTAGAACCCTAGCTGGGACAGTGTGGTCTCAGGCCCCTCAGAGTCACAGGAAGACCAGGGGTGCCTGAGTGTAACAGAGCTCCCAGGCATCACAGTAGGGAAGCCAGCTACAAAGAGTGAGCCCAGGAGTGGGTTGGTGAAGATGCAGAGAAAGGGAAACCCTCCTACCCTATTTGTGGGAATGCAAGCTGGTGCAGCCACTCTGAAAAACAGTTACAAAAAGTAACAAAATGGCAGTATGGAGGTTCCTCAAAAAGTTGAAAATAGAGCTACCCTATGACCCAGCAAATGCATTACTGGGTATTTACCCCAAA